CATCCGCCTTTTATACTCTGTTGTATGACATGTTTAACATCCGCCTTTTATACTCTGTTGTATGACATGTTTAACATCCGCCTTTTATACTCTGTTGTATGACATGTTTAACATCCGCCTTTTATACTCTGTTGTATGACATGTTTAACATCCGCCTTTTATACTCTGTTGTATGACATGTTTAACATCCGCCTTTTATACTCTGTTGTATGACATGTTTAACATCCGCCTTTTATACTCTGTTGTATGACATGTTTAACATCCGCCTTTTATACTCTGTTGTATGACATGTTTAACATCCGCCTTTTATACTCTGTTGTATGACATGTTTAACATCCGCCTTTTATACTCTGTTGTATGACATGTTTAACATCCGCCTTTTATACTCTGTTGTATGACATGTTTAACATCCGCCTTTTATACTCTGTTGTATGACATGTTTAACATCCGCCTTTTATACTCTGTTGTATGACATGTTTAACATCCGCCTTTTATACTCTGTTGTATGACATGTTTAACATGAGTAAGTGGAGATAATCTACGTTCACTGAATGATAAGAGTTATGATATTAAAAAAAAGATGAAAAACTTGTATATGTGACATAAAGAACTGAATGTGACTATACACTCTTGGAATATTGCACTTTTTCTGAGTTATATAAATATCTTGATAATATATCTCTGTTTTTCACTAATGATTATAGTACTATGTTGACTAAAAATAATGTTTTTGCTGCAAACCGGTGCTGGTAAATCGCATCCTTTTCTCTGAGTGTCGCTTTTATTGTACTTGCTCCATGTTTCTCTGTAATTGTATGTGCGGGAACTAGTATATCGCAAACCAACTTCCGGTTAGTCAACTAGAAGCTAGAAGCTAGGAAGCGATGACATGTTTTATGATGTTTATTTAGGACCGAAAAGTCATGGTTGATACGTAATTTGTAAGATATGAGGTTTCACTGGTGTCGTCAAAGTCAGTAGTTTTTATTTTTTTAACATGACTGGTACTGAAAATCAATATCAGTTTCTTTACTTTACTCGCTGGTTGTTGCAAGAGTTTTCTATTGGGCGGATATTAGTATTACCTATCATACTTCCGTTTTGTTAGTTGACTTGCTCGCAGGCACAGGCTTTAGATCTTTTCAGAGGTATGTGATGGTGTAAGTTACACATTAATGAATCAGTTATTATAATAACTTAGATTAGCTGTTCAGATTTTCTGTTGATATACAACATATTGTATTCTCATTCATTTATGATCACATTATTTCTTCTCTCGCCAGCCACAGGGTTTTGGTGTGGGTGTCTGGAGTGCACATGCTGTGCTGATATGTGTCACAACACGCATAAACAATATTATCAGTATAGCATGTGTGTAATTCATGCACTTTCAGCGAAACCCGGTGATCCAGCTGCAGTTAACTAATGTTTAGCTATTTTTCTCGCATCCCAAGGTTTATGTTGTTGGTGGAATAAGGTGATGAAATACATATTGAAGGCTGATTTTCGTGACTTGCACTACTTTTTGGGTAATATTTTCTTTTTTTTAAACGTTTAAGCAAAATTTACGGATGTTTTTTTTCTTTCTATCCTAGACCAATTCTGACTTTACAGAGATACACATTATTGTGACGGTGTCTCTAGTTTTTATTCAGTAATCCAAAATGCAAGGGTATTATGCTTCTATATGTTTTGTGTTGTTGTTGTTGAGTTTTATGTGTCATTTGTCTGTGTGGGAGGTTATTTACTTAAATACCATAA